AAGGATCAAAACCCTTCCAATTTGATTTCAAATTGCTCCAGCTACATTGCGATATTTGTAAAACCAAGCCTGCATTACCATGTAAACGTTGAGCCCATAGATAAAATGTAATATTCTGCAAGCCATTCTACTCAATCTAATAATTAAAACAACACAATAATTAAAACACATCTTAGGTGAAACCTAAGACAAAATAAAAATACCTTATAATAAGAGCGGGATATAGTGCATCCTATAAGGGATATAGTGTATCTTAAAACATGAATTACCTTATTATTTTTTTCCCGTCGTCTTCGAACATCCATGTTAGCATCAAGAAAAAAGCAAATGCAACATTCTATGAAATTGAATAATACCAGTTTAAGTTGAGGGTGGAAGGCATTATCTTGTTCTGCATTCTATTAAATACCACATTGAGCCTGAGTCTACAGCTTTTTCTTTTTTTTTTAAGTAAACAGGGAGAATAAGGAGGTATTCGGGTTCCAACTGACATAAAAAACTCAAGGGGTCTACTCAGGAGGTATATTTTTATCCCAGGCAGTGCCAGATGACATGATGCACCCAAGGGGTCTACCCAAGGGATGGACATAAATGCCATCTAGTTCCTTAGCCTCTTCTTTCCTCAATTTTATTACCATCTTGAATAAAGATCTCAAGGGCAGAGGATGGTCTGACCCCTTACTTGTACAAAGGCCCTCTATTCTCTAAGCTATTCTCAATTACGCAAATATGGATAAGACCTTTGGTCTAAAACCACAAGGCCTTTTACATAGCGAGGCAGCAAGCTAAAAGAATCGTAAGTAGTGAAGATACCACTTGAAGCCAACTTGGCTAGGCTGTCAGCAACCGAATTTGCTTCCCTATAAATATGAGTAATAGAGTACCCATTGCGATCAATAATCGAACATATTTCCATCAAATCCAGAAAAAATCTCCATGAAAAATCACCTTTTCTAACAATAGCATCCGAAAGTAATTTACTATCTGTTTGGATAACCATATTTGGGAGCTGTAGATAATCACACTTTCGCAATCCAAAGAGAATGCCGCATAATTCAGCATATAAGCTATCTCCTTCCCCCAAAAAGCCACATTCACCATAAAGTAAATAACCTCCTTCGCCACGGATGACAAACCCATAACCCGCATCTCCAATAGAAGATCCATCAGTATTCAAAATAAAAGAATTTGGATCTGGCGAGATCCATCTCACCATTTTATAACTCCTTAACATGGATCGAGGCAGCTTAACACCAAATACTCTCGCAATAAAATCCTTCTCCACCTCACTACGTACTTTAAGATCATGCACCAATAGAAGATCGCGAACACTAGATGAGATTGAATGCATTACAGAATTAGAAGATGGCATAGTACCTTCATAGATCATCTTGTTTCTTGCATTCCAAACTTCCCAAAGAATGAAAGAGGGAACCAACATGATGGAAGATTTTTTGGCTGAAGTGAAGCTACCCTTGGACCGCCATTTTCGTAACAAATGCAGCAAGCTTGTATGACCCTCGATATTGATACTCATGAGCGCCGCAAATGAGCCCAAATGCCTTGAATAAATTCACAGCTATAGAAGCAATGGAGTAAATCATCCGAATGATTCCGACAAAATGAACACATTAAAGGTCTTACAGCAAATCCAAAGCATGCAACAACATCAGGAAAAGGCAACAAGCCATTTCGCAACTTCCACAAAAAGAATGAAATTCGAGAAGGGACCAGTTTATTCCATATGTTTCGCAACAAGGTATCGGCATCATCAATTCGGTTACGAAGAACATCATAGGCCGATTTTACTGAGAATTAGCCCTGCGGATTATGCTGCCAAACAAAGAGATCAATATCATTAGAAAAATCATAATCAAAGGATAGAAGAAAGTTTCTTATTTCTAATGGGAGAACATCTCGCATTGTAGCAAGATGATATGCTTTGTTAGCAAAGAACTCTCGGATTGACAAGTGTGGAGAAGGCAGCTGAACTTTGCATAACCTGCTTAGGATCCCATAAGCTGACCAATTATCAAACCAAAAAGATCTATCACCCCCTTCAAGATGACCTTTGTATGCTCAATCAAGCTATCTTCCAGTTTCATTACCCTGGACCATGAGGTTTTCTTTTTAGTCGAGTTAGAGAGTGACAAGGTGAAATGACTCCATATTCCTTTCTTTTGCTTCACTTTCCACCAAAGCTTAGCAGTCAAGGCATCAAAATTATCATGAAAACTTTGAAACCCTAGCCTATTCTCAGAGGTAGGAAAGGTAAGCCTGCTCCATCCTCTCCAATGCCTTTTCTTCTCTTCAGTGGAGCCACTCCAAAGAAACTTCTGACAACGTTTCTCCATCTTTTGAATTATTGAGATAGGGGGAGGAATGGCTGAGAATACATGAATTGGAATGGAAGACAAAACATGCTTGATAAGCATCAATTTGCCACCCGGAGACAACATTTTATTTTTCCAATTCAGCAACTTCGAGTCTAGGGCATCCAACAAGGACTGAAATATTGAAGAAGTTTTCCTCCCCTTGAAAAGCTGACAACCTAAATAGGCGAAAGGAAAAGCTCCCTTATCCATTCCCAAAGTTCTCTTTATCATTTCAACTCTCCTTGGATTACAATTCTCAGAAGCTACAAAAAAGCTTTTATGACGACTAACTTTTTGGCCAGAAGCAGCTTCATATTGATCAAAGAATTCATTGATTTTCTTTAAAGAACGTCTCAGCCCCCTTGTGAAAATGATCAAGTCATCCGCTAAGCACAAGTGTGAGACAACAAAACCACTCGCAGGTATGCCATATGATGCAATCTTCTCTCTAAGAGCCAAGGCTTTTAGTCTTCTAGTTAGAGCTTTGGGTACAAGAATGAAAAAGTAAGGTGAAAGTGGATCACCTTGCTTAATACCGCGCCATGCTTGAAAGTACCCCATTGGACTGCCATTTACCAAAACTGAGAACCAGCTATCCCTGAGATTATTCAAAATCAATTTTACAAAGGGCTGAGGGAAACCGAATTTGAGTAGGACCAGCTCAAGGAAACACCAAGAAACCCTATCAAAGGCTTTCATCACATCAACTTTAATAACCATATTACTTCCCACCGCTTTGTGATCAATAAATTGGCACAAATCTTGAGCTAGTAAAACATTATCAATGATGTCTCGACCTTCCAAGAATGCCGATTGCTCTTCCGACATCAATCTTGGCAAGACAACTTTGAGCCTTTCAGTAATCACCTTAGTAAAGATCTTGTTTAGGAAATTACAAAGGCTAATGGGACGAAAGTCCGCAAAAGAACAAACCGTTGCCTTCTTAGGAATAAGGGAAATCAGAGTGCTAGTAATAGCTCTTGGAAGCGGAACGCCGAGCATAAATTCTTGGCATGCTTTCCAAAGATCACTTTCTATGATACTCCAACAGCTCCTGTAAAATACTCCACCAAAACCGTCCACCCCCGGCACACTTTCCGGGTTTAAATTAAACACCGCCTCCTGCACTTCTTCTAAGGAAATAGGCCGCATCAATAATTTCATGGTCTACTTGATCAAGAATTGTGGGAATATGCTGCAAGAATATGTCATGAAAATCATCATTTTGACTTGCTTCCTCGGTTAGGAGTTCCTTAAAAAAATCTCCCGCCTTGGCCTCAATTAAAGACGGTTTAGTAAGCATTTCACCATCTCTAGACTGAATTTTGTATATTCCTTGCCTCAATCTCCTTTCTTTTAAAGAAGCATGGAAGTAAGATGTATTACCATCGCCATCTTTCAACCATTTCAACCTTGCTTTTTGCTTCCAGAAGTCTTCATGTTCTCTGAGTTTTTGAAGTAGTGAAGCTTTAGCTTGCTGCAAGTTCATTCTATCTTGGACTGAACCAGAACGATCATATAAGCCTTCAAGATGCCGAACCCTGGATTCTGCCTCTTTCAAGTTGTCAAATACATTACCAAAATTGTGCTTGTTCCATTCCTTCAAGCGCTGCTTCAATCTACGCAATTTGACCGAGAAACCAAGCATTGCAAAGGCATCAACAGGTTGCTCCCAGTTTTCACTAACCACACTAAGGAAATTGTGCCTTCTAAGCCACATATTTTGGAACCGAAACAATCTAGGTTTGCTTTCACCTTGCGCATCAAACAAATGCAACATAGGGCTATGATCCGACGTAGTTTGATTTAGGTTTTCAATAGAGGAAACTGGAAACAAATCTTTCCACTCTTCTGAGAATAAAAGCCTGTCGAGTTTTTACTCACCCACCCCGTTTGGCGAGAGCCACCCCATGTGAACTCCTCCCCCACATTCGGAATCTCAAGCAAACCACAGGCATCAATACATTCATTAAAATCACTAATTGCTCCATGATCTTGCACTGAGTTACCAGAGTAGTCATCTAATGAGCGAATCACATTAAAATCTCCTCCAATCATCCATGGCACAGCCGGATTGTTCAACCGAAAGTTTTGCCATGTTTCGCCACAAAGCCAACCTAGCTGTCTTGGTTGATTTTGCGTACACAGCCGACAGATAGAAGCGACTAGAAACCAACAAATGCGATAGTTCAAAATGCATGACCTGACCACGATCTTCTAACAAGGAAATAGTAAACTCTTTCTGACAGAAGAACCAGATATTATTGGATTGAGAAGCGAAAGCAACTTCAAAATTTAACTCCCTTCTTATTTCTTCCAGACTATGAGCCTGAACCATTGGCTCTAACACAATTAACAAAGTAACATTATGCCTTCTGAGTAAGGATCTCAAACGCCTTTGAGACGCTTGATTTTTTATACCTCAAATATTCCAGATTATTTGTCTAATCATTGGAAAAAAAGATTAAAAGAGAATCAGTTCAGGCAAGAAGATCGCCGCGGAACCGTGTCAAGCAGCAACTTAGCCTTTTCACTTTTTGATTTACGACCTCTTTTCTTAGGAACAGAAACATTCCCAGCCACAAGTTCAAGAGATTCAAGATCAAACCTGTCCCCCTCAGACCATCATTCATCATCACTGTTGACATGCTCTTCCTCACTGTCCTCAATCAGACTTCGAGAGCCAACATTGCAGTCATCCGAATGCTCATTTATCAACTGTTTGGCCTGCGGAATTGATGCTAAGGCTAGGGTTTCACGCCTTTCGGGAGCTGAATTATTCTCAAGCGACGGCTTCTCAACTAGAATATGTTCTACATTCTCCTCACTAGAGTCAGATCCATTTCTCACCTCATCAATGTCCGCAAGAACAGAGAATCGATTCCCTTTAGGAGAAACCTCAACCTGCAGAGCTTCGGTTAGCTGAGTTGCAACCCGTTTAGAGACCTGATTTTCCTCTTCCTCAGTTACGCCTTTTGGAGGCGTAGAGTCGAGAATGTCCATTGGGATCACTGTCTTCTCACTCGCTGAAAGACCCGAAGTTGATTCCCCAGGGATCAACACTGGTCTTGAATGAAAGACCACCACTTCGTTCAGGTTTCCGCAGGGGGGCGCGCCTAGGGTTTCCGCAGGATTGAATCCGCTTGTACCGCCTTAATGATCAACGGATTAGCGTTTATGATTTCAACCTCAACCTCTGACTTCTCATGAGGTTTCTTCGATCCCAACTTCACTTTTTGCTTGGCCATCTTGATTCCATTCTTCTTTTCATTTGGAGCAGTTATCTTATCCACAACAATTTTTTGGGGAGCTGGCTTTCCAATACGGCAATCTCTTTCCTTATGCCCAATTATGCTGCACTTTGAACAATACGCAGGGACGTGTTCATAAGTGAAAATTTGCTCATGCTTACGTCCTCTCTTCCCGATCTTCACTGATTTTGGTAACTCTTTCATTAGGTCCACTTCAACACAAAACCTTGCCACCGATGGTCTTGTCATGTTCAAAGTGGGCGTATCTACCTTCAAGGGTTGTCCTATAGCTGTAGCCATTGAGAAGATGACCTCCGGGTGCATGTATTCAATTAGCAAGTCGCAGAGAGAAACCCAAATAGGAGCTACTGGCGGATCTTCTTCAAAACGGAAACCCGGAGTCCATTTTAAAATCCGCATTGAGTATCCCGCTATGTTCCAAAAAGTCCGAATCCAACATCTCTTATAGTCCTGTTCCTCCTCAAAGCAGATCAAGACGTGCCTTGAATTCATAAGACCTAGATTATAGCCACCATTGAATCCAATCTTCTTGAATTCATTATAGACTTCCTCCATCTTGGAACGGCCATACGAAAATTTACCCACTAAACTCAATCTGTGGGGTGCAACAAGTTTTTCAAATTCATCATCTTTATATTCCAAGATTGGCGTTCCATTGATGAACTTGACTGGCTTGATGAGCGAATCTTTATTTGCAACCGATTCAGAAGCTCTATGGAAGAAGCTTGCAAAAGATTTAGGTGGTTTATGGGGGGCCACCGGTGGCTGATCCCCGACCATGGCGGCCAGCAAGAAGACGTGGAGTCGCACTACTAGGGTTTGCTAGAGAGAGCGGCGCCCGTGCTTTTTCAACTAAAAAACTATTGGTATTCTTTTTGACTTGCCTGAGTCTACAGCTTAAAACAAAGTTGAGATTGTGCAATGCCTTTGATGAAGAAAACACACATGACCTTTTTCAATGTCCAGTAGTCTTGCTAAATTAAAAGTTTTTTTGATCCCAAAACATCAAACTTTATCATATCATAGAATTATGGTGAACCTGTTCTCTAGAGTTCATGTAATAACCCTCATCAAATGCCATAAAACCAAAGATGTGAATAATCACATAAATTCCCACCCATGATAAAAGCAACTGATACAACAAACAAAAGAAGGAATTAGATTCTTACCATTAGACTTCGTCAATCAAATAGTTTCGCAGACGTGGACTTCTCGACTATATACCTTTACACTACAACAAACGACTTTGTACCATTAATTTTCAATTTTCTCAAATTCTGGAATTTAATTATGCAATGATTGAAAAAACACTCACTGTACCATTGTTCATTGCATTACCTATGTTCCTTTTGAACAATCAACAATGTGATTCTTGAAGCTCTGTAAAAAACAAAATATTGAAATCAAATTGCACTAATTGAATGATAGAAATCAGAATCAGAATATAAAATCCAAAAGCATTCAAATTCATAACCAATCTAAATTCTTTGAATGATCAATATCACCATCAAAGAGGCAATCTTCTCGTATCAATACGCATATTTTGGTGCTAAAATTAATCAGTTGCAGAGAAGTACATAAATGTCTTTTACGACATACTCACAGGTTAGACTTTCCATTTTACTAAATACCTTAATTTTGCAATAGCAGAACATGGGCGCCCGAAAATCCTAACTTCAGACAAACTTCTTGACCAAAAATTAGAATTCACGGGAATGTCCTATAAAATCAAATGATAATAAGAAAATAAAGTTCTAAAATTCGATAATCTTAACGTGAATAAGTAGAGACAGACCGGCGAAGGTGGATGTAACTTGCGAGAACGGCCCAAGGAGAGCACAGAGAGCTATAGAATCAACCGAACCATCTTCCTCAATTCTCATCGGGGTTGTTATTCATCCACATCAAGTGTTCCTGCAACAAACAATTGATTGAAAATGATTTAAAACAAAAAATTATATCTTCTCCACAATCCATGTGACCAATAAGAATAGAATAATTTTCGTGATTCTTTCTATATGCACATATCCTAATAGAAGGGAAAATAATAATTAAAAATAGAAAACACCAAAATTACCATTAAGAAATCCTCTGCTTCAAAATCCTCTTTTGAAGGGAGTACTTGTTTTCCACGACCACCGAATGGATTAAATCGTCTGCCACCCATCCATTTAATCGATGTCTTCTAAAAATTCTTTGGTTGCTATTGAGATTCAGTGAAACAAATAACCTCAAATCAAAGCGACCGACTCCCCCAGATCTGACATTGTGGCTTACCTACTTCAACGGGATTTGTACTCCGATAAGGGAAGCGGCCGGAGGTTCCTTTGGCGTCAAAATTACCGAATTTCATGAAAGATAGAGAAACACACAACCATCGGTAGTGTCGACATGGGAAAGGCCTATGTGGATGAAATTCAAACCGGCGAAGAAAAAAAAATTATTCCATAAAATATGACAATAATTGAATTTTTAGAGGAGAACTGCCGCTCCCAATTTCTTACCGGTGATTAAAAAAAAATTACTAATAACTATTACCTTGTGAATTTAGATTCTACTTATGGTATCGTTTGATTTTCAGACACGCTCCACCGGCTGCTATCGATTGATTTTTGCTATGTAACTCCTCCAGATCTAACTATAGTTATTCGAAATTGCAGTTATCTTTGCTATTCTTCCTTTGCTTATGCTCCCACCGTCTTTTTTGGTCGTCCGATCGTGTCTATTGTTTCTGTATGTGTGCCTCTTCTTTGAATACGTCGGAAGAATTGTGTCTGTCGGCACTGGTCCTATTTCTTCTTCTTTGCACTGCTTCTTCGTCGAAATTATTGGTAATAGTATTGGTTTATGACACTGGAATATATTTGAATGATTTGTAGATTGATCTATTCTTTTTTAGTACTCTATCAGTATGCCTAATTTCCAAGAATTTGAAACTACCGCAAAAGCGTGATATTATGGAGGAATTGATGGGAAAGAACTAAAATTATGATGCTAAAAATAAGGCGGGTTTAACCAAAAAAAAAAAAAAAGCTAAAAATTAGGACATAAACTCGTAATTGAAAGTGTAGATGTATACGTATCTTTTTTTTTAAACTGCTTATGGTTTTCCTTATTTTCCTAATTAGAAGTAAAGCTTTGGGTTACTTAAGGCTTCATTATTTCTGAAATTTTAGAGTGCCACGTGTCAGTTTTCATTTTGAACTAAAAAGATGTTTTGGCGGGAAAATTTTTAACGTGAAACTAACACATATCCTTCTTGTATGTTGCTTTAATTAAGTATAGTTGTTCAGGAGATTAGTTGGCCAAAAATATATGTTATTACTTTCAAGTTCCGCTCAATTGCACTTGTTTTCGACAAGGTTTATTGTATGAAAATATCCTGTTGACACTTACATCTTGGAGCCTCGCTAAATGAACGCAAAATGTTTAAAGGGGTTTTAATATAATTAGTAGATGCTCTATAAAATTAGAGATCTAATAAAAAAAATTACAGATTAAGAAATACATGGACTAAAGATTGGATCTTGAACAACACAAATCTCTGGAATAAAGGTTGGTTCTTGAACAACAGAAAGCGTTGAAGGAGAATTAAAAAGAATTGAACAACAGAAAGCTTAGATTTTGCTTTCTCCTCTTTCTCCGATGGATGCATTGCAATGACTTTTGGAAGTCATCGGATATAAGTTGGGGAAATCCTGATGAACATTGTTTTTTTTTTTTCCACAAATAAAAAGAGAGGGAGGGATGGGGACATTGATGGACTCGTTTGTGTGTGTGTGTGTGTGTGTGTGTGTGTGTGTGAGAGAGAGAGAGAGAGATGCGTAGAAGAAATTACTTTTCAACAATAAATTACCCAATTTCTCACCCAAAAATTGTACCAATACAAATGGTTCATTTCATTGAATGTATCATTTAGCGTAACTTAGTTAATGAACCGGATAAAATCAAAAATATTTTAGTACTTAGTTAGGTTCCCTGTCCTTTTAGTGTTGAGTTTTCCAAATGGCAGTTAATAGAGTGAAAACGAGTATCTTCATTATAAAGAGTTTCCCCACGATTTTTTATCGCATTTTTTTATTCTGTTTTCGTCTCCTGTGTAGAAATCATTGTTCATCCCTTTTTATTCCAATTAGACTTTTTTAATTAAGATTTTGTTTCATGTTTCAATCCAAAATATTTTCGTTTTGATATTATGTCGTCTGACCATAAGATTGAAAAAACAAAAAAAAAAACTAAAATACAAAATAAATTTCGTTCCTTTCCGCCAGGAGTCACTATGTTCTTAAAGTTTTATGTAATCTCTTTGTCTTTAGTTTAGCATTTAGACTATTTTGTTGTCCTTTTTTTTAAGTCTATTTCATTGCCTTTATCTTCTTTCTAGGAAAAAAAATTGAAGTTTTTGTTTCAAAATAGCTGTCTTTTAAGAAAAATGAAGATTACAGGTTACGATTTCAATTTCAACTTCGCAATATCTTTAGAGGATCAATACTTGTTGTTCACTGGCATCGATCATTCTGTTACTTTCCGTTCTCTATGTGATCTCTGTTAGAATGAAAAATACAATGGATCGCTTTTACTCAATTTTGTCGCCTCATGTAGATGAATCTTTAAGGCAATCTTTAGATGCCCCTGCAGACCCTAATGAACCACTTTGTTTGGTGGCTAAAGTGCCCACAGCAAATATCATTCCTACTATTGAAACTGAGAAGAAGTTCAAGGGACTCTGGTTCACAAGATCTGGTATTTCTTGCGAACCACTTCATGATAATGTGGTAATGTTTCAATTCAATTCATTAGTTAATTTGCGTCGATTTGAATATGGTGCACTTGGCTTTATAAAACCAGATTTAAGAATGACCATTTTGTGTTGGAGAGAATTAGGAACGGTGTTAATGTTGAAGATCTCAAGTTTAATTTGGAGGCGGATTGTGCAACCAAAAGCTGAAGGAGGACGAGGGTTTCGTAATTTGAAGAATTTTTTGTTTGGAGAACATTTTGTTTTCGTTTTTTATTTTGGATTTGGAACGAGATTTAAAATTTGGTTTTAGTTGGAAATTTAAAAAGTTGTTTTAGTAGTATTTTAAATTAAAGAGTGAACCTCGTCATTGAACTATTAGCTAATTCTAATATAGGTTATCAATCAAATTTATTTGTATAACAGGTCACCCTACTAAGCAAAAAACTCATCCGAGATCATTCTATTAATTTTGGCCATTGAATAGTGACGGAAATCTATTTTTTACATATTTTTGGGTTTAGGGGTATTTTTGTCATTTTATTATTTTTAAATTTTTAATCTTTTTTTTTTCAATTCTTCTTCTTATACTTACTAACTTGTATATACTGATAGTATAATTTCTAAATTTCAAACATTAATTTAACTTTTGTATTTTAACTTCTAGATTATAAAATTTTTAAAAAAATTTAAGAAATGAAGAAGAAAAATTCGAGTTAAAGAATTATAAAATTTTTTTAAAAAAAATTTAAGAAATGAAGAAGAGAAATTCGAGTTAAAGTAAACATGAAAATTAATAGTTTACCATTTTAAACTAAAAGAAAAATTAAAAGAATTATCTAATACAAGTTGTTTCTTCTAGGTTACTTAATTTTTTTCAACTCGATTGAATTCTTTAATTATTAATTTTCACGTTAACTTCAATTTGGGAAGAATTACGGTTCTAAATAACATATTCGGCTCTCTCTGTGAAACCCTCTCTGAGAAAAGTCTTCACCACGTCCGCTAGGGTTCGGCCGCCATTGCCGGATCTCGTCCACCGGCGGTAACACATACACCGCCGAAATCCTTTGCCAGTTTCTTTCAAAAACAGGCTGATGTATCTACGACCTCTTTGATCAAGGAAGTCAAGTTTATCAATGGCACTCCTACTTTGGAGTTTGAAGATGAGGAATTTGAACAACTAATTGCTCCACATCGGTTAAGCCTCGTCGGGAAATTTTCTTATGGTAGGCCGAAAATGGAGGCGATTCATGCCGAATTCAAGAAGATCGGATTCAGTGGTGCATACACCTTAGGTTTGATGAATCCTAGACATGTATTGATTCGCTTTGAAATGGAGGAGGACTATCAAAAATGTTGGATTCGAACATTTTGGAATATTGGTGGCTTCTCAATGCGAATGTTGAAGTGGATGCCCGGCTTCAAATTTGAGGAAGATCCCCCGGTTGTGCCAATATGAGTAGCTCTCTACGATCTTCCTATCGAATTCATGCACCCGGAAGTGATTTACTCGATGGCCACAGCCCTTGGACAGCCCTTGAAAGTGGACACTCCGACATTGAATATGACCCGTCCCTCGGTTGCTAGATTCTGCGTGGAGGTGGACCTTACCAAGGATTTGCCAAAATCTGTAAAGGTGGGAAAAAAGGGTCGTAAGCATGAACAAGTCTTTACATTCGAGCATATTCTATCGTATTGCTTGAAATGTTGCAAAATTGGCCATAAGGACATTGATTGCAGAGTTGGTAAACCCATGGTGCGAGTGAATGAGTCAGACAATATTGAGGTTCCAGAGAAAAAGGGAATCAAAATCAAGTCGGCAAAGCCTAAATGGACATTGAAAAGAGGTGATCCTAAAAATACACTGGAAGCTCAAATAGTTAGTTTGAATCCCTTGGTGGTCAAAGGGGTGGAAAAGGAAGCAACGGTGGCGACGGAGGTAGTGAAAAACAACCCTGCAACAAAAACCCTAGAGGCGTGGACTGCAGAAACCCTAGCTGCGGAAGAAACCCTAGGCGCGCAAGGTGAGTTGCGACAACTTGAATCATCTTCCGGTCTGACTGCGATGGAAAAATAAACAATCCTAGTGGATTTGCGGCCATCCCCGGTTAGAACTGAAGCCGTATGTGTTGATGCACCACCTCTTGTTCAATTGGGAAATCGATTTTCAATTCTCCATGCTGCGGAGGATGATGAGGCCGAAGATCATACGCAAAGTCAGGAAGAACAAGACAATATTGGTGCTACTTCGGTTGATGGTAATTTTGATTTAGCCAAGAATAGTGCTTTGCTTGAAGTTGAGCTGCGGAATATGTCTTTGGTCCCGCAACTAGATCCCATTCGATCTAATGATGATACATCCGCGAATGAAATCCCTAATACTGAGGCGGTTCATGACGAGAGAGAGTTATGGTCTGATGGAGAGATTCATGATGATCACATTGTTGAAAATGATCAAGGCGAGTGCACTGTCACCAAGAAGCGGGGGCGCAAGTCGAAGGAAGAACGTGCAAAACAATCGGAGGGTGTTGAACTAAGGCACTCCCTTCGACTTCAGTAGGTTCCAATCCCTCTAAAGTATCCAATGATTAGCGTCGTTTTTTGGAATATTTGGGGAATAAAGAGTCAAGCATCTCAGCGTCGTTTGAGGTCCATGATTCAGATTTACAAAATTTCCTTGTTGATTATACTAGACCCAATGCTTCCATGTCATAAACTGGAAGAAATAAGAAGAGAGTTGAGGTTTGATATCGCTTTCTCCTCTTCCACAAGTAAAATATGGGTGTTTGGTAGCCGGATCTTCACCATCAATATGATAGAAGATGCGGGTCAGGCGATGCATTTCGAAGTTACATGTGTTCCGCTCCAAAAAAGTTTTTTGTTATCTTCGATATATGCTCAGTCAAATAAAGTTGATAGGAGAACTCTTTGAAATAGCTTGGTGACATTCAGAGATGCGCACCCTAACTCTCCTTGGATTGTTGGAGGGGATTTTAATGTTATTCGGTCCTTGGATGAGTATTCGGGTTCGTCGGTGCAAGATTATGGCGCTATTGAAGAGTTTAATAAATGTATTGACGATAGCGAGTTGCTTGATCTTCCTCCCATTGGTGATGAGTATACTTGGGGAGGTATGAGGCATACCGGTTGGGTTAGCAAGCGATTGGATCGCATCTTGATATCACAAGAATGGATTAATCTCTTTCCGAAGATCTCGATGGAGCATCTGAGTCGTACAACTTCGGATCATTCGCCACTGTTCCTACAATTTGATGTTCAAGCTGAAAGTAGGCCAAGGTGTTTTCGTTTCCAGCAAATGTGGTTAAGGAGGCCGGGATTTAATGAGTTGGTTAAGGACAATTGGTCTCAGCCTGTCCAGGGTTGTGGCATGTTTGTGTTTTCTACTAAACTTCGCTGGCTGAAATTAAAACTCAAGGAATGGAATAAAGAACACTTTGGAGATGTCTTTGTAAATTTACAAAAGACTGAAGCGCGGGTGAAGGAATTGGAAATTTTGCATGATTAAATTGGTGATGTAGCTGACCGAATCAATCTTAGCGAGGCCAATGCGTTTTATCTCCAAAAGTTGAAGGAGCATGAGGATTTCTGGAAACAAAAGATGAGATTGAAGTGGTTAAAGGAAGGGGACATCAATTCATCCTTTTTTCATCCCACGTTAGCGGAGAAGAATGTAAAGTTGGGAATCCAAAAAATTCAATCGGTGGATGGAAGAACTTTAACCGAATTAAGGGATATAGAGGCTGAGGCGGTTAATTTTTTCCACACCTTGCTGACTGAGGATCCTGCGCCAACTTCGCAAGTAGAAAAACAGGAAAAGTTTTTGCACCTACGACATGATGAGCTTGATCTTGTGGACAAAGAAATGTTAAATGTTGCGGTTACAATGGATGAGATGCGGGCCGCGGTTTTCAGCCTTGGTGAGGATAGCTCACCAGGAGTAGATGGATTTGGAGGGACGTTCTATAGAGCATTTTGGGACGTTATTGCTGAAGACTTGCTATGCGCCTGTTCTGAATTCATGAGTGGAGTGCCGCTTCCAAAAGGTATATCTAGCACCTTAATTACCTTGCTGCCAAAGAAGCATTCTTTTACTACATTTTCAGATTTTAGACCTATCAGTCTTTGCACTTTTCCGAATAAGGTTTTTACTAAAATCTTGACTGGGAGGATGAAGAAAGTTTTGCCAAAAATCATATCGGAGGAGCAATCGGCTTTTCTTAAAGGGCGCGATATTATAGATAATGTGGTTTTGGCTCAAGACCTTTGTCAATTTGTTACTCACAAGGCTGTGGGAAATAATGTGATCATAAAGGTCGACATGATGAAAGCTTTTGACTGAGTTTCGTGGAATTTTCTAGAGAAGGTCTTGCTTAAGCTAGGGTTTCCGCAGGGGTTTGTTTTGTTGTTATGAATAATCTCCAATGCAGCTGGTTCTCGGTGATGGTAAACGGTTTCCCAGCAGGATTTTTTAAGGCAACACGTGGAATAAAACAAGGTGATCCGTTGTCACCTTACTTATTTATCCTAGTTGCGGAGGCAATGACGAGGCGTCTAAAATTTTTGATGCATGAAGGAAAGCTAGCTGCGTATGCTACTCCGGCTGGGAGGTTGAGGGTGTCGAATTTATCCTTCACCAATGATTTGATAATTTTTACTAGAGGAGAAAAGCGATCTCTAAGAACATTGGATGTGTTTTTCAATGATTACAAAATAGCATCAGGCCAAAAGATGAATCGTCAAAAAAGTTTTTTCCTTGTTGCGGAGTCATGTCGGGCGCGAAGGATAGAGATCATCACGGATACCTTGGGGATGCAAAAGGGTTCCTTTCCTTTTATGTATCTAGGCTGCAAATTATTTCAGGGGAGGAAAAAGGCTTCAACTTTCCAATTCTTATTGGATTCGTTGGACTCTCGGTTGGCTAATTGGAAGAATAAATTGTTAAGTACGGGCGGAAGACTTATTCTTTTGAGACATGTACTTGCTGCCTTACCAATCCATGTATTTTCAGCTATTAGACCTCCCGCTTTGGTCCTGAAGCAAATGGCGAAAAGGTGCCAAAGGTTTTTGTGGCAAGGTTCAAGTGAAGAAAAGCGAAGGCATTGGTGCTCTTGGGAGCGATTAACATTTCCAACGGAGGAAAATGGTCTAGGGTTGCGCCGCTTTATTGATAGTGCAAGCTTTTTCCTATAAGCTATGGTGGAAACTTAAACATCAATATGGATTATGGAGCAAATTTATTTGCTCACTCTCGGACATTGCAAAAAAGAAAACAACTTGGAGTAGGGTTTCGGAAATTCAGCAAGAGGCAGCAAAAAGTTCAAAGGTCTTGGTCCGTGGAGGTGATAGATTGTTCTTGTTTGATAATTGGATGCCCGATGGCGTACTGTGGGATAGCACACATGGTTCTCCTCCAATGCCAAATCTTACCATACAGAGTTTTCTTACTAATAAGGATTTGCTCTTGACTGAAATGCATGGGGCGCTTGGAGTGCAAAAGGTCCAAATGTGGATATCCCCCTAACCGGCGAACTTGATTTGCTAGTTTGGTAGCATTCATCTAGTGGTAATTTCAATAAAGTCGGCATTCTTGAGCCTGAGCAGAAGGAATCCAGTTGATTCGTTGGCTAAGAATTTTTGGCATAATTGATTCCTCTAACGGTGTGGTTTTTTGTTTGGAAGCTCAGGAATTTGTTGGTGCCACTTCCAGAGATTTTATCCAATTTCGGTATCCAGGTTCGGCCCTCTATTTGTTTATTTTGTAGAATGCATGAAGAGAATATATCCCATTGCTTCTTTGGCTGCCCGGAAATCAAATGTATTTGGGTGCATTTTGCTAACCCGTTCGACATTAAAATAGAAGCCATGGCTACATTGCTTGATTTGTTACAAATGTGGTGGAGTTCTGGTGGCGTTTCCTTGGTGAAACAATCTATCATTCGAATACTCCCTTCTTTTATTCTTTGGGAAGTTTGGAAAGCTAGGAACAAAATATACTTTGATGGTATTCCGTTTGAAAAGGGGAGAGCTGTTCATGAAATAACTATCTCAATTCGGAACATTTTGTTTGTACATGATTTGAAGACAAGGAATGTGGAGGAAAGGGAATTCATAGATAATGCATTTGGTATAAAATTACAAAAAGTCCAAAGAAGGATTTGTATCTCGGTTTGTTGGAAGTCGCGGAGTAGTGAAGGCTTTGTTCTCAATACTGATGGGTCGGCTACTAATGAAGATTTTGGCTATGGCTTTCTTCATTAGGTGCTTTGGTGGGAACTTCCTGTATGGAGAGCATGGGTATATTGGTGCGTGCGACAGTTTTGGCGCAGAGATTTATGGGTTGCTTTTTGGTGTTCGAAAATGTGACCATCTCAATTTGGAGCATGTTGACATTCAAACGGACAACAAGGTGCTGGCCGATCTTTTGAGGAACCTAAAATTGATCCCATGGAAATATTACTTTCAAATTAAGGAGATTCATGGTATTATGGAGAGGCGTTCATACTCAATTTCTCATATTTTTCGTGAAGCAAACTCAGTGGCGGACTGCTTGGCCGGTCAAGGATCACAAGGGCAATCTTGCATTTACACTAGATTGGGGGAATTGCCAAGGCATGCTCGTGGTCTAGTTCATTTAGATCAAATTTCATTTCCATATGTACGAGTTAGCCTCAGATAGCTTTGTAATATGGCAAGTCTTAAGCACTTCCAGATTTTTTCAATTAATGAAAAATTAATAAAATAGAGGTAGGGAGGAAGCTGAGGAACTGAATGATGTATATGTCCATCCCTCGGGTAGACCCCGTGGGTACATTATATCATTTGACTATAACTGACTCAAAAATTCATCTTTTGGGTAGACCTCTTGAGTGTTTTTGAGATAGTTAGAACCTGAACTCCTTTCTAAACCTCCTATTTATTTTAAAAAAAACGTTAACTTCAATTTGAAAGCTATTTTGAAAACAACTTTCGTCACGATTTAACGTTCAAAATAGCTTTCAACTAAGAAAGTTGTTTCCCCTATGTTATTTTTGGTGTTAAATCATGACAGAAAGCTATTTTTCACCTGTTTTCGGGTCCATGGGCAATTTTGATCAATTTTTATTTTTTTAAAAAAAATATTCATATTTTAATTAATTTTTTTTTTACAATTCTTCTTCTTTTACTTCCTAACTTGAATATGTTAGTACTAGTATCATTATTAAGTTTCAAAAATTAATTTGTCATTTATATCTTAACTTCTAGATTATAAAAAAAAAGAATAAGAAAAAAATATTAAATTCAAATTATAGTTAACATGAAAATTAATAATTAAATAATTCAATCGAGTTTAAAAAAATTAAATAACCTAGAAGAAACAACTTGTTTTAGCTAATTCTTTTAGTTTTTCTTTTAGTTTAAAATGGTAAGCTATTAATTTTCATGTTTACTTTAACTCGAATTTTTCTTCTTCGTTCTTAAATTTTTAAAAAAATTTTATAATCTAGAAGATAAAATACAAAAGTTAAATTAATTTTTAAAATTTAGAAATTATACTACCAG